TTGGGAACCAATTTAGTATCCTCTACTACTTGTACTACACGATTTGATATGGTTTAAGTCCGTTAACTTTGTTTGGTTTAACTCTTTAACTATTATTGTAAGTGGAAGCTTAGATAAAAAGTAGGGAATTGAATTATATGCATCTCAAAGTAGCAAAAGGAAGACGCATAAACTATTCGAACCAGCTGATTGGGTTTGTGTGTTTAGGCAAAAATAGCTTGTTCGAATGCAAAAAAGGTCAAGATTACATCCTAGAGGAGATTGATCATTCCACATCATTGCAAGGATTGACACCAATGGCTACAATTTGGATCTTCAGTGTAATTTTATGATAATTTGCATATTTTTTGTTTCTTATCTTTCTTTCATTGATTCGAGGAGGGAAGGGATGATGTGATTAATGGTAATAGGCCAATTCCAAGCAAGGATCCATTAATAGTTGATGAAGGGTCTATGACTAGATCACGAGCGAAGTAGGTCAATGAAGTAATGTGACTACTTGCTCAACTCATGGTGGACGAAACATTAATCACGGCAAGCAAATGGGCAAGTTTCATATTGGGTTTGGAAGAAGAAACAAGGTGGATCAACTTGGTCCAAGCAACGTACGAGAAAGTTGAAAAGAGTAACTATGCGACCACATAGTTACCCTAGGCATCGAAGAATCAGCGTAACACTTTTGTATGAACTATGCAACCATATGTCCATACACTACGCGGCTGCATAGCACAATTTTGGGGCGGGTTTTTCAATTTTCGAAAAGAATCTTAGTTTTTTTAAGTAGGTTTTCTTGGTTCCATATAATAGGGCTTATTTCATTCATTGTAAAATAGACAATTTGAGAGATATTATTGTGAAACATATTGCTTTCTTCTCGTCTTTCATTGAATTAATTTTGAACTTATGAAGAATTAAATTCTTGTGGTGTTCTACAATTTAAGTAAGGTTCATAAGTTTTGTAATCACGGAGTCAATATATTTTTAGAGGTTGTCTTAGTTCTTTGATTCATTAATTTATTGGGTCGATGTTTCAAACGTTGATTCTTGGCTTTCTTAGGTTTGATCTAATCTGTCGTGAGTTTCGTAGTTTCGATTGTTACGTGGGTTCGCATCACTTATTCTTTCTCAACTTGTTCTGCTATTTTTTTGTAAATTATTTATTGTACTTGCATTTCTATCTTGATTATCGTCTTATTCTTTAGAAAGAAGAATTTGCTTTATATCCCTGGAGAGTGGGGTAAGGTGAAGTTGTGTCCGCATGTCTGTCGCATTGCCTAATATTCAAATGGGAATTTTATCTCTTTTTCTTTCTGCAGAAAGACAAAAGGCCACCAAGCATACTTTTGTTTGGATCCCTTTGCATCGTTTGTATCCTCATTCTTTCCCTTTACCAATCAAAATAGTGTTGTCCTTGGTATTTTAACGAATCAACAAGGAATTTAGATGTGCTGCAGTGAGACAATTAAATAGATAATTTCACTACAAAAAAAAAATGTATAAATACAATTATTTTCCAAACAGTAAAGCTAAAAACTATCATAATTTGTTGTAGTCGTTGTCGGTGTTTCATCGTGTGCTAACCAACTTTAACACTGTTTTGATCGTTTGTGTCGATAAACCCATTTCGAAGAGCACAAAGCCGTACTGATGTGAGTGCGTTATCAAAATGCTTAGCTTTAGTGCCAAGATACTCACTCCAAGTTATTGGTCGATAGAGTGGAGGGTGAAACTGGTCTACCAATTTTGGAAGTGGGGAGATTTTGACACTTGAGGGTGGCCCATAAAGGTATGCTAGTGACAAACGATGTTGGGTCCGGTTCACCACGGCCCGGTGGCGAACATTTGTGTACAGCCCATTGGATAATATATGAAGAAGGTCGCCCACATGAATCACTAATGCTCCTGGATGCGGAGGCACAGTGACCCACCCACAGCCCTCCCGGAGCACTTGTAGACCACTTATGTTGCTCTGGTGGAGAATGGTGAGTATTGTGGAATCAGTATGTGGTGCAAGACCCATAGCCCGGTCCGGGTCTGGACAGGCCGGATAATAGTTTAATTGTAGAGCTGCACATGCCCCTTCAAATTCTCTCTGATCCGCCCATTTTACATCTTCTTTGGTTATTCCTAATGATCCAAGCATGAGCCCCAACAGTTTTCCAGATAGCTTTTTCATCTGGTTTTGATAAGCTTCAATGGTGTCACTGAAAAGAAAAATGTTAGAAATATTGCTGAACAGGTCTGAAAGAATGAAATTGAAATTCTTTTATAATCTTATGCGCATGTAGACTGAAAGTACCAGAAGTTTTGGTAGTCTTGGGGCCAAAGTTGACGGGCATGCTCTAATGGTGAACCAATAACAGTGAACCCTTCAGACCACATGAGCTTTGGGAAGAAGGAAGAAATACGGGCCAAGCCATAGCCGCCGGCTCCATCTGGAGAACGCGCCGCCTTAAGTTTTTGCTGTGTGGGGAGAGAAAAGAGCCTCTTACCTGCTAACTCAACATCTTCAAGCAAGCTCTTCCAAATATTATGGTTAACCAATTGGAAAACCCCCCATGTTTTGCATGCATGACCTATAAGTTCCATGGCATTCTTGTTATTTAGATCGATAATAGGGACGGATTCAACATTAGGCCCCTCGATGGAGGGCTGTTCGTCGCAGGCCAACATCCATTCATGGGAGTCGGGCAATTCCTTCATGGAGTTCAAATCCAAGTACTTATGAGGGTGATTGAGGGAGTGGGCTCCAAAGTCTTGAGAGAGTAGTCTTGAAGGCATAGTTTTTGGATGTGTTTGGAAATTAAAGAGACAGAAATTTTTTGAACTTTTGTTTTTTGGTCCTCGTACTAGTTATACATGTCGTAGGGCTAGAAAAGTAGGATAATGGGATAACGTAGAAGAAAATATGTTGTGAAGAAATATGATGGTGGCTAATGAGTTTATATAGAAATGGAGGAGATTGTGACTACTCACTAGCTAGGTGGATTTTGCATTTATGAGTGCTTGTTTATGTGGGGTGGAGTATTATCATAGGGTTACAAGATGGGGACAAGAAGGTGAGTGAATTTGAAAAATACAAAAAAAATGAAAGGACTATTTTGCCCTCTTCATTACAACCTCACAAAACCAATTTAGGGGTTTGATGGAAAACAAGAAGGGTCCATCCTTCTCCATGTGCCAATGTCTTATTAGTAGAAAAACATCTATATCACCTCCTTATCTACTTGGTCCTAATCCCACCTCTTCTTAACTAGTAGACAAAAAAACACTACCATTTTCTCATCTTTGATGAAAAGACAACTCTATCCTTGCCCTCTAGGGTAATTTTACCCTATAATGGATCATTGATCTTCAATTGAATTTCAATTGGATCACTAAACTTTATATTTAGTCTGTTTCCATGAAGTCTAATGCTAACTTCTGAATTGATGAAATTTGTTTAATCGGTAATTATACCGTGACAAATCATCCATGCAATCACCGTGTAGCTGGCCAACTATCGATTTCATCGTGTCATAAGAGTCATAAAATAAAAAATACATCTTTTGATTTTTAAATTTGACAATACTATTACAAACCTCATTCTATCATTTTCAGTTCTAGGATACCATTTAATGGCTACATAGATCATTTATAGTATGGTTGCCGAGGAAGAATTTTTTGTCAGGGACAATAGGTGACTAAATGTGAAAAGAGTGATGAAATTTTAATCAAAATTGAAGTTCAATGACCTAATTAAGATAAATTAAAGTTTGACCAAATTGAGATTTCGTAAAAAGTTCTGTGACTACAGATGAAATT